AGCGCCAGTGCTTGTGGCTTGAAACCCCACACATTTGCTCCACGATGTGGAATTTATGTTCAGCAAACGGAATCACCCCTGAGAACAAAACCGTAGCTAGATCTACTTTTGAGGGGGAATTTCATTCTAACCTTCAGCTATGAAAGTGGTACTTAAAAGGTGAATAATGCTCTCAAGCCTTTGGCTGGAAGGCGTGCACCTTGATGAAAACAAAAGGGGTTCCGAGTTATATTCCAAAAATCCCCTGCGAAGGAACAAGAGAACGCGGAATTTCACTGTTTGAACAGCCCCTCATCTATGAACACAGCGACGCAGTGACTCAATATAACATGAGTCATATACTGCAAAATAGCCATTAGGGACCCAAGTACATTTAGAGCTAAAAAAACCGTAAATTCAAACAATTCATTGCAGACATTCTCCTTTACTGGGAATGTTCAAGAAAGATAGTAATTCCAAGTTGAAAAGGAATTGCCCCCCCCCCCAATTTGGAAGACTATTCTTCGGATTTGGCCAAACCCTCGGCTCACAATCGTTTTTTTTTGCACTCTCTAGCACTAGATGCGGTCTGGCTTTAGAAAGTCGTAGCATAGAAATAGGAATAAAAGCGCGAGCATATTGCAGATTGCAGTAATTCACAGGGCCTTATGAAGTCGGCGCTATGTGTCTCGGGAAGGGCACTCTTCTGCAAGTCGTAGCTGCGTTGTGTTCGGATGTGACAGAGCCGCGTCTCGCTGTCTAGAGGGAGGGTGCACCGAGAGGACCGCATATTCTGGCTTGACCAAGTCATGTTAGAGCAAGCTACTTTGCCTCGGAGTGAGGGGACATGACCTGGGTCATTCCAGGCAAATCCCGCGATAAATGAATGAGCGGAGCCATCCCAACTAGCCTCGATGGTCCGCTCGACTTGATGGGCAGTGTTATTGAGAAAGGTACAGAGGTTGGAGGTTGGCTGTTTCCGCCCATGTGGTCATCGCGGAAGGTGCCTTGTGCTCTATCATGGAGACAACCTGGCACCTCCAAAGCGCAAAGCCCGCTTAAATGCCCAGTGTGTTGACATTAGTCCACAAAACTTTACAAAACGAGCCAGCGCATTTACAAGCACTATATATACCCCCCCCCCAGCTTGGTTGTGTTCAGAAAATAATAACCATACCTGAGCTGAGGCGGCGCCCATGTAACCAAAGAATGGAGCGTACGCTGGACTTTCGGCGGTGCTTAAATCGTACGACATCCTAAACAAGTTATCAAGGATAATGCACATAATGAAGAAAATGATTACAAATACTACCTTGAGCTAAAAAAATTGAAAATACACCACAAGGGCGGCGTCAATGACGCTCACACAACACGTGCTAACAAAATACCAACAAAGAAATTTATTCATTAATATAATGAGAATCAAGCATCACATTTAAGAATTAGACCGCGTTCAGACTTCGCGACCGCGCGATCCGATCGCTAGACTGTATCCCGCCAGTTGGTGCACCGCCGCAATGGTGGAATTCAAAATGGGCCGCATTCACACTGTGCCAGTTTGAATTGTGCCGTTGCAGCGGTGCATTATTTGGCGGTGGAGCGCCCACAGTCGGGGTCGCGCGATCCAATCGCGCGATCGCGAAGTTTGAACGCAGTCTAATGAAGTTATTCTACAGCAGTCAATATATACATATCGTTAAAGGACTATGTAGCACCCATAATAAGGGCCACAATCATTCCATACAAACCAAGTACTTCGGCGAAAATCAACATCAGAATCATACCGACAAATATTCGCGGCTGTTGTGAGAGGGCTCTCACTCCCGCGTCACCAGCGATTCCAATTGCATAACCAGCTCCCAGACCACATAGACCACATACAAGACCGCCGGCAAATTGTGCAAACGCCTGATTCAGGGTGTATTCGGGACCACCAGGGGCCACTTTACCGGACACGATCACAGCAACGACGAGACCATAGATGGCTACGATACCTGCCATGACGACGGGGATGATGGCCTTCATGACAAGGTCTGGTCGGGCTACGGCCATCGAAGCGATTCCAGTGCCAGACTTTGCGGTTCCGTAGGCAGATCCGGCTGCGGTGAACATCATGGCACTTGTGACGCCGAGTGTGCCAAAGAATGGCCCGTACATGGCCTGCTCGGCTAGTTTGAGGTTCGGATCCACGTCCGGCATGGTCTGAAAAAAAGCAGGAAGTTCTGAATATCCTTGAAACAACAATTCAAAAGGAACAAGCGGCAACGAAGAACAGACCACCCGAAAGCTAATGAATGCTTGACTACTCAACCGAATGAGGAAACACAGGCCTTCTGGCAGGCATTTCGGGCTAAAACTGAAGGAGTGGCGAGGTTATAATGAGGAAGGCCGATGAAAGCCCGCCAGCAAGTATTGATGTAGGGAAAATCGATACGTGAGACATAGGAGCGAGTAATCGCCAGCTGTCAAGTTGAAATGACGATGAAGAGGAAATGGGGGGACATGGTATGGCCTGAAAAAGAGGAATTGCGCGCTGATAATGATAGACATGACAGTAGCGAAGTGGAATGATCGACTGAATTGCCCTGTGCGACTACGACACCGATCGAAAACCGAAGAGCAATACGGTAGCCGCAGCGCAGACGTCGAGGCGAGACGGCTACGACGCGTGTAGTATGCAATCTGCACGGCAGACACTGGACTTTACGGCTACTTTAATCATCGTTCCCTCCGTAGTGAATTTCCGCGGATTTTCTTCTTTTCAGGGTCTTTCTTTTCAAATAGGGCTGCTAGTTGCAAATTCATTGGAGGCTGATCTGAATAACCCCGCTGAATATCCTGTAAACCTACAACTAGGTATGATTGTATCTAGTTGTCTGTCATCTGGCCGTAGTTTTTTTGAAGTAGAATAAAGGGAAGAGAAATAAATGTAAATCTGCTGGTGAACTCAGCGCTATTCCAACATGGTGGCATTCTGTGTAATAGTCCGTCAGGTTACGGTAGTCCTAACTTTGCAGAACAAGTGTTTGAAGCCACGAGATGTTGCGGACAACGTTCTTATGCCCCTCTTTTGAATTCATACTTCTGAAACCATTTACACTCTTTCCGCCTAAATTTCGTGAGCTCCGCTATCGGAAAGTGGGTGTGCTTATGTCCCTGTACTTCTCCTAGATCACTATGGCGAGCAGAAAGCTTTATCGCGTTTTCTTATTGTATTGTAATGCCACTAATACGATTTTCTGCTTGGATTTGCGCCGTTGAATCCTTCATATCCGCTAGTATTTTGTAGCATTTAGATCCGATCGGATCTGCATGTGTAAAGCGAGACTTTGGCAGCGGTTTCTGATTCCTGTGATCGTCGTCAATTTCTTGTTCTTCACCTATCTTGTGGTTAATCTGAGTAGTTCATTGGAAGACAGGTGAGTAAATTTCAAGGTATTTTCAGGTTAATGCTCCAGTAGCTTCTGCCCAGTTGGTTGCGAGTCGACTCTTTCTATGGAGTGGCGTTCTATTTTCGTGTCAGAGCCGAAAGGGGAAGCATCGTTTATCGGATCGAAGCTCGCAAGCTCACGAAACGCCTAATTCACAATATAATTATATCGCTTTCCTTTCGCCCAGAATGCTCTAACTCATCGAGGAAAACAAGCGATGAACATATAACCTTTTTGTGTGAGCCAGCGGCGTTGATGCTGTATAGTCGGCCACATGGTGCATCTTAGGCGCTCGGCTCAGGGCAGAGGGGGGGGGCATCTTGCACTCTCTCTAGTTCTCATCGCTGTGTTCATTGCTTTGGAAGATCTCATAAATCTCTACTTGGTGGCTTGACACGGCGATGGGAAGCAACGAAAAAGCAGAGCCCCCACCCGACCGACTTCAGCAAGAGTCGTGTGCCGCCATCAAAGCGGTTGCGCCCCTCAGTTGTATGTCGTATAGTAACCATTAATTTTTTCAGGTACGACCTATTTCACTCTTCCGGTCACGCCTCGGACTCATAAACTATGTGTTATAGTAGCTGCTACCTTGGTTTCAGCAGCGTTCAAAAGAAAATTATTTTAAATTGCGGTCTGATGACATTTAATCACATCTTATTTCCTTTCTGGGAAAGAGTTAACCAGACGGCCGTGCCTCTGTTATCTTCTTCCCACACCAAAGCGAGGCCCAGGCTTCTTGGAGCGCAGACGACGCAGTTAGTTGCCATGGGCGCTTCCTAGGGCGAAATCGCCACTAATCCATTTCATCATACCCGTTGAATTCAGTGAACACATCTTCAGCGCTGCCGTTCCCAGTGTCGCCGATACTCCAGTATCTGAAGGCAGGGCGAGTGAGATGCGGATCCCTCTATTTCTAATGTGCAATCTGGTAAACGCTCGCGCATGCTCACTTCTCATCATTTTTGCCTACATAGGTCTTTTTTTCCTACCCTCTTATGTTTGGACCACTACCGATCCCGTGGTGTTTTGTTGATCACACTGACTCCCGCGTCCTGCACCATGAATGCGTCCTGGCGTGGAAAGTCCACCTATGGTCTGCGGCATTTCCGCATACCTGGGAAAATCCCGCTTAGAAAAGGGACATCACTTTTTCACCTGAGATTTTTTGAGGAACTGATAACTCTGATCTGTTAGAGGGAACGGGCGGGGATTTTAGTGCGTTAGTGTGTGCAAAGAAGGGTTTCCGGTCAGGGTTGTGAAGATTTTTCCCGCAGATGTAAGAGACAGCTCTGGGTTAGGTAAAGCAGTTACTTGTCATGGTTTCAAGTGCCTTAGATGCTTTAGCTAAATTCTCTTAGGAGATGAGCATCCCCCGTGAGTCAGAAAGATCGCACCGCCTGACTTCGCGCCGCGGGACAGCTTCGCGGCTGCATGTCCGTATCTGGCCACTACGGAACTGTCTGTTAAAGAAAAACAGGTTCCGCTTCTCGTTTATTGGGTTCTTTTTAGGGGCCCACGAGACGCACAACTAATATCCGCAAAGGGCTGCGACCTCACAGCACGTTCTGGCGCATGACCCTCCCTCCTATGAGATTCGCCACCATTACCCGGTTGCACTCGTCTTATTTTGGCCGCCAAATTGGTATTTTCAGTGCCTTATCGAAATCGAGAACAAGAGCTGTCGGAATTCGCTCCCTACATGTTCAAATTCCTACGTAACCAAGGAATAGACCATTATTTGATGGTGATGAATCAGACTGATGAGCTCCGATTCAACAGGGCTTCTCTTATCAACGTACGTTTACGTTGCGCCAGCCATCTTGACTATTTAGTGTCTTATTTTTGATCGGTTTCAGGTTGGATGGCTTGAATGGACCGGCCTAGGCTAGTGCCATACATAGGTGATGCATGATGTTGACCTGTTGCCACTAAATCCAGAGATTAGTTACGGATTTCCTGGCGAAGGTGTTGTGAGGCACATTTCTGCACCACAATATCATCCCAAGTAGGTTTACTTGATGTTCCTTTACTAGATCTGTGAGAATTTTCGCTGCAGTTTGGCTTGGTAGGGGCATTTTTTGGTTCACATTAATCATTGTCGATGCGTGTTGTGGAAACGTGTCAATTCCTGTGAAACAGTGCAAGAGCACTACGTTCGATTACATTGGAGAAGAGCCTACAGGTCTCACCAAGGTAAGGCGTGAAGTTGACAGGTACCAATTAAGACTAGCGAGATTGTAAAATGCTCCTCCCAAGCCTGAACAGCGTCGAATTTTGTCGCCTGTTGTGCTTCATCCTCCTCGCTTTTGCAGGTATAACTACTCGAAATTCATTGGCGGCGTGTTAATGCTAACAATGGACGATTACAAAGCTGTAAACGGCATGTCGAACAAGTACTGGGGTTGGGGATTGGAAGATGATGAGTTTTATCTGAGGATAATGTGAGTTCTGAACTTATTTGTGAAAAGATAACTCAGCTTTCCTTCTGGAAGAATCTATCCCTCTACTTCTTTCTACGATTTTTTTGTGTCATATCTGTGAGTCTGTTCTCGGGGATCTGTGGTTAGGTCTCACTCACATGCTGTGACTTCCACTGCGCCAATCTCAGGACGAACGCGCTCCACAGCTGATGGTTGGACCGCGGCAACTAGTAATTTGAATGCTAGTCTGACAGTGACCGTATTAGCAGTTGTAGTGGTCAAAGAGCTGGTGTACGCGGTCGATCGCAACCGAGTATGAACGCAGTCTCAGACCTCTCAAATTAGTTGAAGCTTTTTTTGCATGAGCCTGGATTTGTTGAAGAGTCCTTCTGTATAAATGCAGTCAAAATGGGATCCTTTCCGTTACAGGGACGCTTCATTGAACCTCACAAGGGTTGCAAACCTTTCCACGAATCGTTTCAATACGTTCCGTCATATTCATGGTGTCGACAGAAAACGTGACTACGCTGTTGTGACAAAGGATCAGAAGGCCATGAAAAGAAGGAGGGATCACGTGAGTCAACATTTGTTTTTGTATTTTCAATTCAGTGAAAGTAGCTTCCGTGTTTTCTTGTAGAATGAAACTCTTCAAGATATTTATTTAGCAACGTTTCGGGCCTTAAGCCCTTCTTCAGGCCTACAATATATACAATATAATATCTACCGATTCACACTTAGGCATCACTTTAGCTAAAGTGAACAAGAAACTATTGGCGATACGAAATATGCCGACTAACCGAATAACAAGGCACGGTTTGGTCCAGGGGCACGGGTTCTTCCCGGGAACCACGTGAAATCACTGCAAGTGCTCTTCGATGGACACGGAAGGGGGAGGGGGTAAGGCGTATGGCGAGGACTCACCTATCTAGCTACTCTCGCAGAAATGAAGCAGCTAGATCGGTGGTGGGGAGGGCAAAGGGTGTTGTCGGTATGGATACGTCGGTAAATCATACGACATCACCCTTGCCCTCCCCACCACCGATCTAGCTGCTTCATTTCTGCGAGAGTAGCTAGATAGGTGAGTCCTCGCCATACGCCTTACTCCCCTCCCCCTTCCGTGTCCATCTAAGAGCACTTGCAGTAATTCACGTAGTTCCCGGGAAGAACCGCGTGCCCTGGACCAAAACCACGTGCCTTGTTATTCGGTTAGTCGCATATTTCATATCGCCAATAGTTTCTTGTTCACTTTAGCAAAAAGTGATGCCTAAGTGTGAATCGGTTAGACTTTAATTGTATTGTACATGTACGCTTGAAGAAGGGCCTTAAGGCCCGAAATGTTGGTAAATAATAAGGGCGTGAACGCGTAACTATTAAGCCTTAATCATTTCTCATTTCTAAACTTTGTTTTCCTGTCACGTTACTCTTCACCTTTTCTAGTCATCCTATGTAGAGCAAAAGGCCTTGCACTATTACTTAAGTAGGAACAAGCCTTCACAGAAAGACCATGTTTGGTTCCTCGAAAAAAAAAGCGATCTTGGGAGGGGAGGGGAGGGGTGGGGGTAATGAGTAACTTCTGTTCAAGTTGCAGCGTATCTCGCTTCTCCCACCCCAAACCTTACACCCCTACGGCTGAGTTCGTACTTCGCTATGACTCGCATCACGCGCTATAATAGTAATAGCGCCAATGCTACAGACGGGAACGCGGTCAGGAAAGTTATCGATTGGCACTGTCTGCTAGCGCTTTGAAAGACTACAGGGGAATAGGAGGGTAAGGTACAGTATGATTAGACAGCGCGTACCTTCCTATTCTCCTATATTCTCCCAAAACACTGGCGGCTTGCGGCGATCGGTGCACGTCTACGGCTGCGTTCCCGTCTGTAGCATTGGAATTATACTGGAATTTCAGCGCGTGATTCGAGAGGTCCAAACGCAGCCTAATGAACGCTGAGCGGCGCAATGAAGCAAGAGCGTCTTTTGAGAGAAGCTAAACAATTAGGGGAACTAACAAACCGCGTTCATACTTTGAAATGTGGAGGGTACGCGACGACGAGAAATGATTAGATGGGATTCTCTCCGTTCGCTTTAAGATGGTGGATCCTCTGAAAGCGCTATTGGGCGGAGTCAGTCCACTACCATTCAACCGTTCGTCGTCGTTTCTTCCAAATCGCAGATTCTCCAGATTCGCAAAGTATAAACGCGGCCTCACGTCTAGTCAGTGAGCTTATAATAAAGCTCAACTTTGTAAAGCAATTCCTGTACTAAAAGTGTCCTTTATAGGTCTCAGGTCTGAATAGTGTGAGGTACAACATCACCGCCCGTCGAAGTCTGTCTTACGGTGAAGCTACGGTAAATGTAGTCGATGTGCATCTTTACTGTGATATGAAATGGACCCCATATTGCAAGTTCAAGTCTAGTCGGTAACATATCAGGGTAGGTATTGTTTATTGCTTATACAATCATTCATTATCAACAGACAGTCTGCTGGCCGAGTCGTATATCTGCTTCTTTAAGTTAGCGAATGTATGTGATGGAAAATCGAGCCAAACAAGTCATTATTTGGAATCATTAGCTACGTGACCAGCTGGACCCACAAAACGCCACGAAAGCGCTGGTATGGCAATTTGACCACTTTTCTCTCGATTTTTGAAGCAAGCTCTTATATGTGTATGTTTTTTGTGATTTTTGTTCAAGTGCATTTACATCCATCTATTGTTGACACATCGCTGCCAAATCTCACAACTTATCATTGATTGGGAGTGTTTTTTTCCTTTTCTAATTACTGGAAATCTACTTTGAATACCTATTTACTTTATTAAACTTTTTAGGCAATAATTGATACCCATCATCAGTATAGTTATAGACTTGTACGTATGATATCTATGAAAACAACTGTAAAAACAATACCGCACTCGTTACCAAAGCAGGGCAGCAAGTTGAAGAGACTAATGAAGCTGACCGCTTCGCTACCGCACGCTCAATTCCCACGTGTTGCGGCTAAGGCGGATGTACGGTATTTACTGTGTATAGCAGTTTTTAAGAGAGTATTATGCGGCGCTTTATTATGTTTCTTATTCACATTTTACCCACTTCACAGCTGCTGTATGGCCACCTAAAAGGGTGAAGTTCTCTTCATCTTTGGTTCAGCAAGCCTGGTTACTAACGCAGTTGGAGGGGTGGGTGTGTGTATGTAGGGGGAGGGCATTTGGTCGCAACTCCGTATCTGTAGATGACTAGAGAGGCCGAAAGATAGTCCCGCGGAGTGAACATTAGCTTCCAGGTCCTTCCAGGTTCATCGGCTAAATTAAGCAATCACAAGCCACTGGTATTTCATCCACACACAACAGAGTCGCAGAAGTGGTTCACTTTTATGGCTAAGGAAGGAACTGCCTTCAAGATTCAGAGCTTCTTGGGTTTTGGCTGGCTAATAGGATCAATTGGCGCTGTTTCCAAAGCTAAGCGCATGTAGCCTAGAAAGCAGCATGGGTTGCGTGAGAAATGCATATCAGTCGGTCATCTGTGGGGAACCCCGCCCATTCTATGTGTACACCTCCCCAAGTATACAAAACGCAGCCTCTGCTGATAGGAACATCCACCCAAACTATCCGTTTCGGCACGCTGTGATAGCGATCCACTTTATTTATAAACTCTCCTTACTTGTGATAGCCTTTATAGTTATCAATTTGTAGACTTATATGTTGGCACTTTACATCTGTGATCTAGGAGTATTTTATCCTTCTCATGGCTTAATCATAGAGCTTATAATAAGGTCTTAAATCTCTCACTTCTTTCCTATCACGCTTTTGCTCTTAATCTTGCCATTTTTATAGCCTTGTTTATCCCTGTTTATCCTAGAATCGGGTAATAATGGATTGCTGTATTCTGAGGTCTGAAAGTGCTCTTTGAAAGTTTTTTGAAATGTTTCAGTGTACAGGTGTCGTACAGGTTTGCAGCAATAAGGTTGCGTTCATACTTTGCATTGAATCCGAAAGCGTCTCCTAGCGTTTTGAGCGTGCGCCAGCACCAGCGACCAGGAAAGTATAGATATCGATTCAGCGAGCGTCAGCGTCTACCCACATACAGCAGTGTTTTCGCGGGCACTTTTGAACTTGAGCAAAACTGCCCGACTAAACGCTGCTGGACGCTGGTATATCTATACTTTCCTAGTCGCTGGTGGACGCTGTTGGACGCTTACGCAAAGTATGAACGCAGTCTAAAAATTGTGGATGAATCACTTGTCACTAAATTGCGGACCCATACTACAGTTGCTTCTATTACGGTGTTATGTTTTTCCAAAGATAAATAATTTATTGACGTGATCTATACATGCACGCTCTTACCGGTTCTCCTTTTCCGGCGTTTATGCTTGGGAACCTGGCTGGTTGGCTCTCATCGAGAGCAGCCAAAAGAACGTTCCATAGAGATCAGTACGACTAGACGACTACAGACAGATTTGGGAGCCCGTATGCAAAGGGAGTATCGTCGAGGTAATCTCATTCTGTTGATGGCTGGTTAGACTGAATTGGAAGAAGTTTGGTTTACGATCTGAAGGTCCAGTAAAAAACTTACCAACGTACACTTCAAAGAACCCGTTGATCGAATCGTAAATGGTTAAATCGGCGAGTTGCAACCTTGGTGGGATCCAGCGTAGGTAGTACCGCTGCTACTCCGTCAGCAGTTGGTGAGCGGAAGCGGAAATAGCGATTACCTGCAAAATTGATTTCAATCACGAGCCAGGACACTCTCTGCTACGCATGAAACCTAGGCACGACAATGCTGCGTTCATACATCGCGGCTCAATTCGCGCGACTGTATTACTGCGCTCAATCGTTAATGGTTGGACCGTTGAGACACGTGGGTGGGGGGTGTCCACAATGCGACTGAATTAGCAGATTAGGCGGTCAGTGACGCAGCTTACAACTGTCATGCTGCTAGAGGAGTGCTGCTGACGGTGAGAGCACCTCCAGCCGCTTCTGCGGCCCCCCTTTTGCACCAAACAACTCAGACAGTTCGCCCATCATCCCAGTCAACCTACTCGAACTAGATCGGCCCTGAACCGAACGAACCAGCCTAGAGATGACTTAGCGAAGCATTTTCGTATTTTTCTGAGCCTATTTCAGACTTCTTTTGCCTGACCCTCTATTGCGGGAGGACCTATCCATTACGTCTGATTAATGTATAGCAAATTATCGCCTCAAGAACAGTAATTCGGCTCTATGAGGGGCGTCTTTCAGTATGATTAAGCACTCAATCAAGGTGATAAGGACCTGGACGAGTTGTCCGGCGCAAAAGATGGACTGCAGGGGCGGGATGAGAGGCAGGCTTTACGGTCAGCTTCGCCATAGTAGGGTTTGACAGCTGCACCATTCGACATGCATCCCTCAGCAGTTTTGGTGTTCCAATCATTAGCGGTGGAGAGCAGCTTCAGACGAGTCGCCGAGCCACGAAGTATGAACGCCCCAGCTTTTTTCCACATTCTGCGTCCACAGGCGCACTGTAAGGGTTTTTGGTGCGCTGTTAGTCACTCAAATGTTTTTTCTTTCTCCTGGACCTTGGGAACTAGAAGTGGTAACAGCCAATCAACCGTTCCCAGAGGAAAGAGGGCTTGGCTGGCTTGAGCGGGAGCCGATTCCCGGACCCCCCTAATCCATGACCGCGCGTGCCACTTGCCACTACACCACCTTCCCCCAACTACGTGGAACCAAACTAAAGCACCTTTAGCAAGCTTCCATCATATAAAAAAAAAGGATAAAGTCTTCGCCGTTGATCAATCCCTTTGTGGGATGCGGCACGCATTCTACTTCCATTCAGAATCGTAGTGGCTTACTGAATGCGTCAATATCTTCCCAGACGAATCGGGTACCAGTTTGCCGTCCCCGGGGTAGAAGGTTTGGTTGGCTTGGGCGGAAGTCGACCTGGGATTTGAACTCACTATCGCGCAGTGGTAACTTGTCATGTCGCCACTTGTCACAACGCCATCTCCGACACTTCTACCAGTCATAGGAAATGTAAATGTCAGATGTACAACTCACAGTTACCTCCAGTGATCACCGATATCGGCATGACATTCATAGCAGTACATTTCCGAAGAAATTCAATAGCGTGCTCGTTAGACCTTGAAACGACAATATTCGGAATTCAACATTTTCAAGAAACCTATCATAAAAATTCGAAGAAAAGACTGAAACCAACTGGACTTTGATGGTCGGTTCAAACGTCTTGAGTGACGGACAGCAGACTTGCCGTCGAAGGCTGACAAATCTGAAGTATTCCTTTTGAAGTAGGTCGAAGTAAAGATTTCTTAGCAACAGGTCAGAGGTTCGTATACCTATTATCGAGAAAGATGTTGGCCACTGGATCGATGATCATTCGTAGTTGCCAGCCCGTCATCGCCGCCGTCGTCCACTGGGCCATGTGATAGCCCAGTTCGTATGCACCCACGACGGACTCACAAGTTGAGTTCTGAACCAAGAATCATCTGGAATCATCAGGCCGAAGATGGCTATGGTTTTGAGCACGAGGCCAATGGGCGATGTCGTGGTCAGTGCGTGGGGGGAAGGACGCGGGAAGGCTCGCCGCGACGATTGCTCGTTTGTGCTCTTCTATGGCAAGAACACACCGTCCGGGATTAAAATCGTCTGGGCGAAAGCGGAATGATCAGAAAGTGCACAACGTTTCCTGGCTTTGCTCAATAGGCACTACCGGACGGTGTCAAGAAGTAAGGTGCACTAGCTCAGTAGGAGAGAACAGACAAGCAGCCCTTCTTTGCACCGTCGCGCGCTCTCCTACAATGCGTTACTATCGGCATGTTCAGAGTTATAGAAGCAAGCGGATGCCCACCCAGTAGCGATGAGACCTGTTCATGCAAAGCGTCTTGAGACAATCAAGAGAAAAGATGGCGTAGTTCGGCAACGGGTGGGGGCATTTTGCTATTTCGGTGCTTCACTAGTTTCGGTTTACAAGTCTCACTCTGGTGAAACCTGTGAACTCTCTGTGAAGCTGAAACAAGCTCGTTGAGCCACCATGGTCAAACTTGTCAGGTCATTCAAGCTCATGAAATAGTTCGACACGTCAACGGGAAGTAGTGAAAGTGCAAAATGCCCCTCCCTCTCGTCGCCAAACTGTCCAAACAGAGAGTTGAAAAATGCTCAATTCAAGTGCGTATTCACTAACAAGGGAAGAATGGTATGGTCGAAGTGGCCATTTGAAATGAAGATGTATACCGGCTGAAAGGTCTTTGGACGGGATTACGAAACCGTCTTCCATATCTGCTGCGGACCTCCCAGAACAAAGTTACGGGCCTTTTAGGGAGGAGCATAGTGGCATTCAATACGAATTAGCGGCGTGAGGCTTCATCGCTCGAAGCAGCGTGGCCGAGTGGATACGTTGCAGGTCTCACGGTCACATTGTCGAGGGTTTGGATCCTTGATGCGTTTTCTGTTTTGCATTTTTTCTACAATGGTCTCTATGCATTGAAAAGCATTTTTGCATAACTCTTGTGCTCGAGAATGCCGCCAAAGAATGTTTCTGAACTAATGGAGCCATTGTGGACAACTCCATGCAGAACATTCTTGGCTGTTGAATTTGTCACACGAGCCGAAGACTTCCAGCAGGTGCGAAAGCACCACTTTGGGATAGAACATCTTTCAACACTATGTGAGTGATGAATGAAGGTTTCACCCATTGTGATCTCCGCAAAGTTGCAGGCACAGCGTGGGAAAACCTTTCCAAGGATACTCATCTTTGCGCACAATTTCGTGTGGTTTCGTGCCCAGCCATTCGTTCGGAGAATGAAGCCATTCTTCAAGGCAAGCGCATTCGTTGGAGAGCATTCCTTTTGTACAAAAATAAGCTCCTCGAAGCAATCAGAAATCAAGAGCCAAGAATGGGCACTATTTACCCTTTACTGCCCCGATCAACGAAAATCTGGCCAGTTTTGACCGACTTTTTTCCGTGGGCAGAATTGGCTAAACATTTGTCCCTGGGGTAGTTTGAGCTCCTGAATACCAATTCCACATCGGCACCAAAACACCCCAAATCACCGGCGCCTGTGGCGCGGGCGCCAGGAGATTTTCGGCCAAGCGGATGTGTTATTCGTATTCAGGAGGTTAAACTACCCCAGGAGACAACATTCGAGCCAAGTCTGTCCACGGAGAAAAAACTCGGTCAAAAACTGGCTCGAGTCCGGATGATTGGGCAGTACCTACTATACAGGGGGGGCCAAAAAAAGTCACTTTGCTTCATTGACTTTCGAGGCGCTATAAGTTACACTTTATAAATTCTGATCGGACATTTCTACCACCATATTAAAGAGCATATTAAATACTATTATGACACTCCGCCACAGCCTTCTGGAGGAGCGCCATCGAGAGATTCTGGCACGCGACCGCGTGGTCCCTGAGATCAGCGAGATAGTCGATTTTCGCTGCGTAGACCACCCTATTGAACTCCGCCCGAACCGGGTAATTGAGGGGATTCAGGTCAGGTGACCTACTTAGATATTCCATCTTCTTTAGGTACTCAGCCCCCTTCCATTCCAGGTAGGCGAGAGTTTTCCAACGCCCTTCGATTCCACGTGGTGGCACCTGTAGCAGTACAAAGTTTCCAAGAAGTAGCTGGGCGATCGACATGTGGGAAGATATTCTTCACGGAGTTTGATCGTGTAAGCCAGCGGTCAGCTTCAGCCCTAGGTCCACGAAGAAATATTGGTCTTTTCCTCCAGCTACTTCGGATCCATACCACCAACCCACGCCTCGGCGACTGCGGTGAAGATGATATCCTGGACCGTAGCGACGTTGTCGGAGCTGCTCGATGCTGGCAGGGTCTTCCATATTCAGGGGAGAACTATTCTCCAGCCGTAGCTACCCATGAGTGACTCCACACTAGAAGTTTCGCAGCTGTTTGGAGGTGACATGAATTCCAAGGTTTCTCCAGTCAGGCTGCGACTGGAGATGACCTCATATTTTGGTGTGGCCAGTTCCCTGCTTATCAGAGGCAACATCTTGGTATTTCCGCACTGCTATCGTATCCATGTCTTCTTCTGGGCTGCCGAAGAACTTGGAATTGTGATCTCGGTCGAAGTGACTTTTTTTGGCACCCCTGTATATATTCGCTATGTCATGCGTGTAGGGTATAAGGGGGGGGGGGGGTACCGCATGGGAAATAACCCTAAATAGCCCCATGATCCACGAATAAGCTCTGCGCCACAATGGCGGGCGCGCTGCCTTGGAAGTTAGCGATAATGTCACGCGAAAGAGTCATAACTCGGTTCCAGAGCAGTCCCGAAATGAGGGAACAGTGCACTAAAGCTAACAAAGGGTTGACCGACCGAAGATGAGACACACCCGAATGGGCGGGGCGGGCGTCGTGAGACGGGCGGCGCTTCCGTGATCACTGTAAAAAAAGCTATAAACTTGCATAAAAGCAAACCGCGGAGACGCGGAAAAAGTCGGGATAATGGCATGGGTTTGGCATCGGCTTGCTAGAGGAAATGACGGAGACACATCCGGAATGGGCGGGGTGTACTTTAGATGGGCGGGGCTTCCCATAGGGCCGGCAAATCTGTTCACGAAATAGATCAGAGATCACAGAAAAGTCCATGACGAAAATGAATATCCTGTCAAGAATCACAACTTGATTTGTGCTGCTGAAGGACCGCGCCACAGTGGCGCGGATGCGCGCCATTTGAAGACACGAGGTTACGCAGTTAAAAAATCGTATTTGTGTCTAACGCACTTACAGACCGGCGCGAAAAAAGTGAATTATGTCCCCTAAGTGATCAGCATCGTTCGGACATGAGCGAGGCATCCCTTGGTAGGCGAGACATCGCTCCCGAAGGTGCGGAGCACAATACTGAAAATTCCTCAAACGGTTCTCGAATGTATCCAACCATCCGCGGAAAAAGCGTTTGAGACGTCGAGGTCGTGGCAAAGTGTGGAGGCGACTACCGTTGTCCGTGCGACGGTACTCGAGTTGGGGGGACCGATCTAAGGATTTGAAGCGGTTCCACACCAGACCTCCTCTGTGATACGGCCCGGCCTTGCGGGACGTAGTCCGTCGCGCCTACCTGCAGTCGTATGATCAAATGCTCGACTAATACCCGGCTTTTCTTCCATCTTTCCACTTGATATGAACATGCTATTGTGTCAAAGAATGTTGACCTTCTGTTAGAATAAAACAAGCGGATATAGTGGGTATTGAAATGTGTCTGAGAAGATAAGCGCGGCGGAGCCGCGCCCGCTCAGCGAAGCCGTTTTGTATCTCAGAGGGAGGCACGCCGGTAGGGTAAATAGTTGCCCAAAGAATGTTCTCTATGGAATTGTATAAAATGGCTCCATTCGTTCAGACATTCTTGGTGGCATTCTCGAGCACAAAGTTATGCAAAAATGCTTTTCTAATGCATAGAGACCATTGTAGAAAAAATGCAAAACAGAAAACGCATCAAGGATCCAAACCCTCGACAATGTGACCGTGAGACCTGCAACGTATCCACTCGGCCACGCTGCTTCGAGCGGTGAAGCCTCACGCCGCTAATTCGTATTGAATGCCACTATGCTCCCCCTAAAAAGGCCCCGTAACTTTGTTCTGGGAGGTCCGCAGCAGATATGGAAGACGGTTTCGTAATCCCCGTCCAAAGACCCTTCAGTCGGTATACATCTCATTTCAAATGGCCACTTCGACCTACCATCATGCTTGATGCATGATGAACGGGGCTCTAATCGAAACAAGGGTCAAATAAAAAATTAGGAGGTTAGATCCTGCTCACTTCAAGCAGTTCATAGTTGAGATCGTCGATCTGCGTTTTGAGAACAAGAGGAATGGATACGAAACCGGCCATGACGACGCAGGAGCAGGCGAAAGCACAGACGTTCAACGCCATTCTTACGATGGACATCAGATGCTGATTGACTTCACCTGAATTAATTCTTCTTTGTTCCATTTCTCTTATGGGGAATCTACTTTGAGCTCTGCAATTTGAGGAGTCAGTACTCCACCCGGCTTAGGTGGAACCAGCGAGCCCGCTAAGATCTCCAGCACTCTACGATACCAAGTATGATGCAAACAAATCCACTGGTGGGGAGGAGGGTGGTCGTGTTCACAAAGCAATCTGGGCGGGAGGGGCTCCATGGCGATGAAGGTACCTAGGTGTAGGGCATACTATCGCGTCGTGGAAAATTCTTGTTTTTGTTTATTATGAACTAAGATCCCTTTCCCAAATTTTGGCCTTGGTATATCGCCTCGCAACCTAGCCGTCTCCCCTTGCAAAGTGAGTGGCACGGTCTCCTCTATTCTTCACAACTAAATTCCCCGCGTCACCTGCCATCTGCCACAGCAGTTTTCTTACTTGATCTTTCTCATCGCATCTTCCCCATTATCCAAGTTGGTTTCGAACCGTTCTGTAGCTCCGGGCAGCC